ATTTCTTCAAATGAAAACAGCTAATTTGGACAGGTGAAGCACAGTGCAAGCAATCTAAATTACACAAGTGAAGATGCACTTGTTATTAACCTTATTCAGATCTTAGTTTTTTATTTCAGTTTCTAATTATGCTTGTGCATTTTGTCCTAATAGTATTTGTAAAAAATCTTGAAGGCAAGGACTGATTTTTCTCCTAATTACAAAAAAGAAAAGCTACTGAAGCATTATTAAGACTAGCATATTATATCCATTGTGTGTGACGAATACTGTGAATACTGTCCATAACTCTTAGTTCAGAAGTAGCCAACATCTGGTTCTTGATTTCTAGATGCATGTTGCCATTTCACGATGAAAGCATTCCTGCAATTTTTTTGATTCTCTTGGATACATAATATTTGTCTTATGATTAGAGATAAAGACTTTAGCACCTATCTTACAGGTTAGGGAAGACATGCAACTACATGTTTAGACATATATTCTCATTTGGAATCAAAACCCTGTCCTCAGCATCATTTCCTGAGCACAGAAGCATGTTTGGAATGTCCTGCACTTGCATTTTGTGCGTTTATTTGTTTCTTGAGAATATCAGATAATAGTAGGTGTAGGCAGACTATTCAGCATGTTCTGTTGTGAACAGGAATTGCATACTGCTAACATAATGAATATTTTTGGAGACTGGAACTAGATAATCTTTAAGGTCTCTTCTAAGCCAAACCATTCTATGATTCCATATTAAAGAAATTTATATGAAGGAAGATGAAAACAGGTAGTTAAAATTTTGTAACTAAATATCCAAGGCATTATTAATGATGTTCTATTTTGGCAACATGAAGTTTTAATCTTTACATTAATTCTGGCACTTTTACAATTATGATATCTGATTCAGGTAAGTTGTACTGCATATGGCATGAAAAATATGCCAGCTCAAGATTCATTCAATAAATGAAGCTCATCTCTTTACAATTATCTGGGGAAAAAAATCAAGTTGTTCTGTTACATTTTTAAAACTGTTTGTGAAATTATGAAAGGTTAGCAGACAAAATAAAACCATTTATATTACTATTAATAAAACCATTTCTGTTACTATTAATTTTGTGTATTTTCATATTAGGACCAGTCACTAGTGTGTTTTCACAGGGCTCCATCCACAGTCCTGTGCTCTTCAACATCTTCATAAATGACTTGGACACAGGACTGGAAGGGATACTGGGCAAGTTCACAGATGATACAAAGTGGGAGGAGCTATTGCTTCCCTCAAAGGCAGGGAGGCCCTGCAGAGGGACCTCAGCAAATTACAGCACTGAGCAATCCCCAACCATATGAAGTTCAGCAAGGGAAAGTGCCAGATTCTGCACCTGGGATGGGGCAACCCTGCATGTATGGACAGTCTGGGGAATGAGATGCTGGAAAGCAGCTCCATGGAAAGGGACCTGGGGGTCCTGGTCAGTGACAAGCTGAACAGGAGCCAGCAGTGCCCTGGCAGCCAGGAGGGCCAGTTGTGTCCTAGGATGAAAACTTAAATATTAATTAACCCAAAGGCTGTTTATCCAATGAATGCTTCTGACTTGGCCCCTGTCAAGGCTAAATTTTGAGAAGGTAGTTTCTATATATAGGAGGACAGCCAGCCAACAGAACATGTTTGCTGAAAGGCTGGCAAACAGAACAAGTAAAAAGTGAAGATTCTTTTTAAGCAAATTCAATGCCTATCTCTGAATGATTACACTAGAGGTAGAGTAAGCTACCTCTTAGCTTTCACAGTTTTTTCAACCTTTCACACTTCTCTAATCAACATTCGCTTTTGAGAAGGAAGAACTGACTGCTCTAAGAGATAATTCATTCTTGACTCTCCCACTGCCCTTTCTTGAGCCTTCTACTGTTGAGGAAAATTCCCTTTGTGAAGTAAACTATAACAATCACCATGTAAACCAACATGACCAGTAACAGAGCAATTCTGGAACAGTAAAAAAGAGCATGAGAGAGCAAACTCACATATTTAGTGCTCCAGACAGGGTAATGAGAAGTGTGCATGTTGCTCAAGTTAAATTTGGCAAGACCTATTTACTTGTGTTTATTCTACACTAAAACCTTGTTTTAATAATATTCTTTTACAGTGATGGCCTAGTCACAATTAAAGAGTATAAATACTTTCTGAGAAGATCACAGACCACACTGCCAAAGGAATTGACACCAATTACTAAAAGCAGATTTTTGCTGGGCTAGCAGTCTTTCAGCTATGGTATTTTCCTGCAACTACCAGAATAGGGTATGAGAAATGAGAATTTACTTTAGGGCACCCAGGACAAATCCAGAGGTCTAGGAAGAATATATGTATGGCAGAATAGAAGGTACAATTAAAAATGGGCATCTGTGTATAATGACAAGCAAAAAACCCTCCAATTATACATTATAGTTTTCTAAGAAAATATTTATCTGCAAACAGATTGCCTTTGCAGCTACCAAATGTTTACTTTTAGTCATGTATGGTAAAACTCAACATTGTTATTCTGCTCTTGGGAAAGGAAAAATACAGAGGAGTCTCCTTTAGTGTGGGTAGCAACAAACTCTGCTCCTAGGACAGAAAAAAATAGTAAAACTTGCTACAACCTAAGTTTAGCAAGATGTTTCACAGAATTTACAGAATTTTTTCTAATAGCTGTTGTAGAATAATATGGTGTCCTTCTATAATGGAATGACTATTAGAAGAAAAGGGAAGAGCAACTGATGTCATCTATCTTGAATTCTCCAAGGCCTTTGGCACAGATAAACTTTTGCTTGGTGGCTCCACCTTCCCTCTGGTTTTGGATGAAACAGAGAGAAACCCTGACATATTCATTGCCATAAGAAAACAGAAAAAATGATGTATGTCTGTGCAACCTAAGGAGGCAACATTGCCAAAAGACCTTCCTAACACATAGTGTCTTGTATGCCAGAATTTGGTGCAGGTATAATCCAAGACTTTCTCCATATTTCAAAAGTAAGATATCATCATGAAACTGATTGCAGACAAATTTACTGATGTGAAAAATATTGTTCCCCACAGCAGCCATTTATGTGGCTACAGTAACAGGAGCAGCTCCCAGGAATTTTGTATGAAGATAGTCAGCTGAGTGAGCATCAAGATTCAAGATTTATGTGATACTAGGCCTTACCACTGCAAACTGCCTTTGACTGCATCTTTTAAGCACAATATACCCAGAAGACTTTAAAAACTGTGTAAATATACTACCACCACCTTTAATTTCAGAAGACAAATATTCAGTCAAAGAAATCAGAGACCTTTAGTCAACAGCTATGTGTTATGTAGTTATAGGCAATGTTAAAAACTACAGAAATCACCATATTTTCTCTCTAGAAGCTTAAATCATAAACATAGCTGTATGGAGACGCTGTATACAATTACAGCCACCATAAATTGCAGGAGACAGCCCTTTTTACTCTCTAAAGCAGCCTCTTTCCAACCTGATCTCACCCTCACTGTACAGCATATTTCATTTGTGTTTACAAAAGCTCTTTGGTAGCAAAACAGCAGTTTTCTTTGCAGGAATACAAGTAGTAAAAGTTACAATTGGCTTTAAAAATAAAGAAAATAAGGAAGAAGGGATCTTACTGAACTGTTCTCTTCCTGTTATTTTTTTTCTTCTTTTTATCTGAGACTTTGGCATTCTCCACCCTATTTTCTAGATTCTACTGAAGAAAAGAAACACCCTGAATCCTATCCTAAATCAAAGATTTGTTTAAATCCTACTATTTAATCTATTTATGTCATGTAGTTATAATTTCTATTAGTACTTTCTGCTATTTTGCATGACAATTTTATTTATGGTATTATTTCAGTATTCAGTTTGCTTTTTACCTTTAGTTTAACTGCTCTGAGATAAGTCCTAAACCTCAACATATTATTAAGAAATATCTTTAGTGATGCCCAAACAAAGTTAATTATAAATAAGTTAACTGAAAGACTGACAAAAGGAGCCACCTCTGTGCATTTATATCAGAGAAAAATTAAAAAGTGCAACTAAGGTCTTGAATATCATCAGACCTTATCTAAATTCATACAAATCTTAGCCAAGCTAATGACATTGTGTCATTAAAAAGGACAGAAATATTTGCAGAAGTGTCCAGATTATAAATACTTAATATTTATTATAATTTTCTCAAGAAAGGAATATATCTCTATAACCCAAATATCAAAAAATGATTTGCACTAGGTTATAAAACTCATTTTCTTTTTACAAAATACTGTGAAGACAAGACAAATATTCTAAGCTTCCCACAGAGTATCCTATTATTATTACAGTATTGGTCTAAACTGTTGCAGCTTTATTTTGGGAACATTGTTGTAGTTGAAATTGTTCTGACGGAGGAGGCCTACTGAAACTTCCTGTTTTGCACAAGACAGATCTTTTCTTTCAAGCACGTTTCAGTTGCAAGTAGCATAGGAAATATCAAAACAGAGCCATTAACTCCAAATTGTCCAGCACGCAGAGCACCCTGTGCAGGCTTTACAGCCACCAAATACACTGCAAAACACAGGGACCAAAGCTGTGCTCATCACCTGGGGTCCAGCAGAGGGTATAGCCTGCGTCCACAGGTGATCATGCTCTGCAAGCAGGCAATCATTGTACCTGAGCAGCCCCAGCCCTCCCTGGGACAGAATGTTCAGTGCCCCCAGCCAAAATCCAGCATGGGGACACAGTGCTCCAACAGCGCTTTGTTTTCTCTTTTGCTAGACTAAACTTAGTCACAAAGCCAGTGATTTTAATTTCTTTTTCTAAGTTTTACATACTTTTATCCCCCTCAGACCATTAAGCATCTGCAAAGCTTTGATCATCAAAGTACTTTCACAGACTTCAAAGGGAAACTATCAGGCTTAATCTTGAACTAAGTGTATAGGAATCTACTGAACCATGGTTTCAGGTGGGGTTCTCTGAACTGGCGAGAAGAGTCCATATCGTTCAAAAGTACAGCTTGTTTGCATAGGGGTACCCAGCAAATCATACCTGCTGCATTTGTTCTTCCTCTGAAAATATCGTCATATGCCTTCCATTGAGGAGTCACCTGGTAGGCGTGGATGAACACCACAAAAACCACCACTAGGCACATTAATGGCACCAGAGCAGCAGTAAAGAGAGCAGCATAGGCATTTGGAATGAAACACCTGATGGAAAAAAAAAAAATGGAAAAATATGCTGTTAATAAGCATAAGAGACACCCTGAAAGGCTGTAATTATAATACAGATAGAAAATACTGTCATAAACAAATATTTTTGAAAAAGGATGTGCTTTGCAAACCATAAATTCTTTAACTCTGTTCCCAGAGTAACCTTGATAGGTTCCTTTGTGCTCTGTTGGTTCTTATCTCATTATCATATCTTAAGGAGGATAGCTGTTGCTCTTACAGTATGCATGTTATATTTAGCCTAACCAATATTGGAAAAAATTTAAACTTGCAATGAAAAAAATTATATTTTAACAAACTGTATGCTGCTATATAAATTTAAAATGATCATTCTTAGTCACCAGTTTCTAAGAGGACATAATGCAATTTTTTGCATTTAGCTCCTGAAAGCACAAATTAAATTTTGAAAAATATAATTTTTATATAAATAACTGAGTCCTAAAGACAACATAGCTATTCCTTCTCATGTTGTTGGAAATAACATGTCATTTGCTTAGAGAAGCCAAATGCGCACTCCTTCCTCCTTCCCCCCTCCCGCCCCCCAATTGTTTAATCTTTCCTTGCCCTTTTAAATTTATTTAAGTTATAATTACTTTTTAAGATGTGTCCGGAACATGAAATATCCCTGAAAGAGCCAAATTATGCATATATGATGATGAAGAAAATGGAGATGATAGTTATAGAGATCTTTCAGGAGTATGAGAGACCAGGGTTTTCTGTGCCCTCCCTGGAGACCAGTATGTGCTTTACAGACACTGACCTACCCTAGAGATGACGCACAAGAGAGCAGCCCAAGGGACAGCGTGGGAGTCAGCATGTCTAGAGATTATGTGGTCACTGCAGTCCCTATTAAGAGGGTGTAACTTACCCAGCCATTCTGTTTCTCAGGTCAGCTCATCTAAGCTTAGCACAGATGCTGATGTATGTCTGGGAGAGTCCTAGGTAGAAGTTTCACTGGTTGATGAAGTTTCATCAACCTGGTTGGATAAACCTGGGTTTGCTTAGGTGTACTTTCATACACTGCCAGAAATTCAAGACTGCATCCATGTTGTCTCTTTCAGAACAGCATACTAAGTGAATCCCAAAAAATAATGTCCAGCTCTTTCACAGCTCTCTGCAGAATGCAGAGGCTCAGTCAGACACCAAGCTTAGATATCATCTGATAACATAACTGAACAAGTAAGCATCAGGGAAAGTAGGAACTCTGCAATGCAATTCAGAGTGTTTGTTCCTTTCCTCATAGAAGACACTTCAGTCTTTACTCATCTTGGGGGCCTTCACTGGACTTTGTACTGTCTGTCCATGTGCCTTTTGTACTGAGAAGGCCAGAATTAAACCCAGTACTCCAGGTGTGACTTCATGAGTGCTGAGCAGAGGGCAAGGATCACCTCCCCTTGACCTGCTCTCAACATGGTTGATATGGGATGCAACATCCCATACATTTCATCTTTCTAATTTTTGCTGTTTCTTAGGTATGAAAATTATTTTTGTTCCCCAAATGCATTCTTGAGGTGGCACAATTAGCACTAAGAAATGATATCAGATTACTACCTATGCTGATTTTAATGATTATACTGAAGGCAAGAATCTTAGTGCAAGAATAGTCTTCTATAAAATCATATATATGTTCTGAAATCTGTATATTTTTTGTCTTGATGCATTTTTGTATTTCAAAGACAATATATATATTAAATAACTATCAGAGTTTCTCGAAACTATTGTGAACACTACTTTATACTCAGTTAACAAAAGCTGTATAAAAATGAAAACCTACAGAAACAGATCACTTTTACGAATACCGTTAGGTACTTGCTCTAAAAAATACACTTTAAAGTTATGTAAAGAAATACACAAAGCTATATTAATCTTCACAGCTTACTTTGGATTTTCTTCTTGAAGCAATGGTGTGCAAGTTACTGACAACCACATCATCCTGTAAGATTTATTCATATATAGTAATGTGATTATATATGTTGACAGATTTATTTTATTATGGAAATAGTATGGGATAAAATTATAGGGACCAACTGCAATTATTTATTAAACTTAATACTGGGGACATATCTAGCATTCCATTACCCTGACACGTTTGTTGTACAGAACTACTGTGTGTTATATACCTAGCACTGGATAGGAATGTTAAAAAATACCCCAAAGTATCAGCTAAGCTGATGTTTCAGAACACAGCCACTCTGCTTTAAAAGGTCTAGAAAGACTGAGGCTTATTTGTCTGAAGATGAGCATTATTTCCTGCAGTATAGCCTTCCAACAAGTTCCTTTTTTATTTTTATTTTTTTAAAGGCCCAATATTTTTGTAAGCTTTTTGTTTTGTTTTGATTTTGTGTGATAGCAAAAATACCAACTAACCAAACAACCAACCAACCAAAAGAAATCTATCCATTGATATACTGATTTCTGCAAGAGAGAAATAAACCAAACCAAACCAAACCAAACCAACAAAACTAACCAAACAAACTAATAAACAAACAAACAATAAAATACACCAAACCCCAAAATTGTTAGCTTCTTCAGAGGTTCTCTGTAATTTTATTACAAAGATTCTGTTACTTCCTAGTAACACTGCCTTTTATCAAAATGTATTTTTTTTCTCTCACACTTTTGAGAATTTTTGCTCACAGCTTAAGTCTTCCTAGCATCAAAATGACAGCTGTTTAGCTTTTGTCCCAAGCTGCCACGAGTCTTGCCCTTCTTAACTATTATCTGATTGGAGGATCTAGCTTTGGTTCTGTGCTGACTGTTTTGTTTTGACCGTTGACTTTGTTGATGTCTAATTTTGTTCTGATTGCTATAAATTTCTCTGTTTACTTTGTGTGAGGAATTAAAGAATGCAATTGCATGTTTCGAAACGCTATCCCCATGAGAAAAGTCATCACAACAGGAACTTGAGATAAGCACCTTTTTATGGAAAGCTGATAACAGAAACTGATGGAACATTTAACTAGCCGCCATAATTGCTTGTATTTTCAGTATATCAATTATTGTCATTTTTTTGTGTTTTTATTGGCAGGAATTTGTTGGGAAACCAAATATTAGTAAGATTATATAAGAAAAACCACTTAATATATTGTTAGTTTGATTTTTGCTGAGTTTGTTTTTTTTACTGAAAAAATAAATAGTGTGGGAAAAGCTTTTACTTTTATCTTATGGATGTATTATTTTATTTCAACCAATTGAGAATTAGAAAATTCAATCAAATCTAGCATTGGAGTTGGTACAAGAGTTTATGCATATTGGAATCATGCAAACGTATTAATTTTCCAAGTTCTGCCCAGAAGGCTTTTTTTATCATGACTTGGCAAAATTTTTCAGAAACATCAGAAATATTAATAATAATAACCTAAATGATCTTAAAAAAACAAAAGAAAATATTACATGGGAAATTATCGAGTCTCTCTTCAGGGACAATTAGAATGATGGGTAGCCATAGACTGAAAATGGGTCATGAATAAAGTCCAGAAAAGCCTTTTACCACCTGTCAAGACCTGTAACTGTTTTTGAAAATACTTATATTCTCACATTAATATGCCACTGTTAAGTTTCCTAGCATGTGTCCTAAGAGAATGTTTTAACCTCACTTCACTTCTTTTATCTGTTCCAATCAGAGCAGTAACTATAGTACACTGTGGACCACACAAGATTCCAACTCGTGGGTGCAATTTCCTGCAGCAAATTACGAAGAAATGTAATGAGAGCACTTTGGCCACTGAAAATAAAATGAAGAAATAAAAACAGTAAAAGAAAAAAAAAAAAAAAAGAGATAAACTAAATCTGAAAGGGAATTAACTTCATTTATGACCTCACCAATAGTAGCCACAGCTTTTGTTTTGTGTCAAAATTAAATCACAACAGAGCTTTAATCTATCTTCTGGATAACTGAGTACGTTTGTCTGAAAGCCGTTTTATATAAGAACCTTTTTTATATGAGAACTTTTTTGTATTTTGTCTGAGAACTTTGTGTGCTAAAATTTGATTTCTCATCGTATGTAGAATTATCCAGTGGGGCAAGAATGCAGGTCCCTATCAAGTCAGAACATTCTGTAATTCTGTCATTACTTACAAAATTCCTCCAACTATATGTTGATGTGGTTGAGAAAGAACTCTATTTTGAAGCCTTAAAGTACGTGAAGATGCATCCTCAACAAACCCACACACACTTGTTCCAGTGTGCAAAGGTAATAAATTGTGCTGCAAGACATGGTCATCCCCTGGAGTCTTGACTGACTGAGAAAATACACATTGTAACACTAGGTGTGTATTTGTTTGGGATACCCCTGCATGGAATTTAAAAATCAACACTTGCTGTGTAATTCTGTGGCTAATTTCAAGCCCCAAATATGTTTGATAGACACCAGAACTTGAAAGACAACCCACTATAGTGCATCACTTGGATTAGTTTAGGGATATTCTGATGAAAAGTGATGAAGCCTAACTCCTCATGATGCTCTAAGGTGCAGGATAGTGGTCCCATCTATTTGCTCAAACTTGTCTTTCACTGTTCATCAGCAGGAAGGACATAACAGGAACTTAGCTCTTCTGAACAAAGCTGAGAATGGATCAGTAATACATATGCCTAGATATGGTGCAGCGAAAGACACGTTTCAGGTTTAAGGTAATTTTGATGCACACAGCACCAGTAGGTCCTTGGAAATAATATGTGGCAGGCACGTGCCTTCAGTAATGGACTAGATGTGAGTTAGAGATCTTAAAAGGCAGTTCTAACAAGTGTCAAAAATGGCTTTACAAAGTCAGTTTGTATTAGATATGTTCTGTTAAAGGAACAAGGGGTACATAAAATGTTAAATCTTACTGAAATAGTGCATTCATTATTACCATTCACAATGAAATGTCATCAATTGAAAAAGCCTGAGCCAAAGTGAAAGAAATGGCTAATCAGACATCAGAACTTTCCCAATTGCTCTAAGATTGGCTTCAGGAAATTAGCCCCAATACCTGGTTAA